ACCTGAAAAAAAATATGGGGTTTTTTATTACTTTTGAGGAATAAATACAAGATTTCTAAAAATAAATGATACAAAAGATAATCAAATTTACCTCATATGAACTTTTTCACAGGCATTTACGTCCATATTTGCATGATAATGGTTAGCTGAAACACCTCTCTCACGCAATTCCTTTGCAACCTATAGTTCTTGAACACAAAAGCATATAGTAAGTATTATTTTTAAAATTTTCTCATCAACAGTTTAACATCATATAACAAATTTAATTATAGTAATTCTTTGAACCTGTTCACACTCCTTTCGAGAGAACCAATAAACAATTCCAGATTCATTGTTTGTGTATGAACTCAACAATGTCATCAATCACCACTTTTCAAACAAATGATTTCTCTCTAACCTGTTAAATAATTTACAATGTATAGTAACTCATTTCATGAAATACATGAGTAGAATTTTGCATATTCAATGCCAATAGACTTGTAATGACAATAGGAAAGTAGTAGATTCAGTAATACCCAAAATTCAAATGATCAAAATATAATGTTGATGCATAAACTACATCAAGAAACAAAAAAGTTTAAAGGTGGATTACATGGAATTACCTTGACAATATTTGGTAGACCAACAAATATCCATGAGCATTCACTAAACACACAACTAACTTCACCACCCAAATTAATAACCTTGACCAATACAACAAAAATTAGAAAACCAAATATATAATAAGTCGGAAGTTTTCCAAAAAAATGTAAACAGGACCACATACCTCCACAAATCCATATCCAAAACTCATTTGATTTCCAAAGCCAAAAAATTAGAAATTGAAAACAACTCCTGTTCATAACCAACTAAAATTAAGACACAATGTTAAGGCTAAGTTTCAGGTTCACAGTCACGAGAGTATGATTGATGGGATCTCTGTCATGTGAAACCCACATTGGCATTTCATCGAACAACTTGTACTCAAATAAAGCACTGAAAAAAAGATAAATTGGAAATCTTTTCTTTATTCTCTATCTAATCATCAGAAAGGATTAGATTATTAGAAGTAAAACAGCAGGCCACACGATCCAAATAACCTCTTACATCCTATCCCTATCGTTGCCATACCCTCAAAATGAAGAAAATCCATGTTGAATAAATTACCTGAAGTGGATGTCCAGACTCTTGCCACACAAAGTTTTGAGATTAGTGAAATTGAGCCCTATGTTGTTTTCTCTTTCTACTTAACACACCGCCTCTGCCCCATTTCTCCACCGCCCTGTACAATTCCATCTAAGTCGGAAAAGCATTCATCGATACAAATCCAAGATGTTATCATACAAGAAACATTTGAGGCATCGCGAGAATGTATCCAAGAAAAATAAGAAGATCGTGAAGGAGAACCGAAGAAAATTGATCACCAAAACCCAAATAGATTTCCTGATTTCTTGTGTTTTGAATGAAATCCGAAAAGTGATGCAACTGATTTCGAGGATAGTGATGATCTTGGGTAGATGCGTCGAATTGGAAGCCATAGGATCAACTGTTTTTACCAATTGAAAGCTGTAAACATCTAGCGAACCATCAATTTATAGGCAGATGAGGACGAACTAATGCAGCAGTTACCGGTATGGATGCAATCGTGGGTAGAGACAGAATCGTGGGTAGAAGAAGATGAACCGGATCGACTGAACTGCAAACAACCGCCATATTTGAGTTTATGCGACTCTGATTGAAAGTTGTATGAGTTTTAAGGGCAAGGATTTGGACGACGGGTTTTCCACTCACCGTCGTCAATAGTATTAATAATTTAAATTTTCTTATTGAGTAATGTTGGATAACTATTGGTGGTTATATTGGATACCTAGAGAGTGTTTGGAAAAGCTTAAGAAAAAGTTTTCATAACTTATTATCGGCTTGATACCTGTATATATGTTAAAATGAGTGTTTATATATATATATATATATATATATATATATATATATATATATATATATATATATGAGTTAGAGAATATGTGGTTGTCATGTATGTAAGCTTATATATAGAATTCTCGAAAATACATTGTTTTAATTAAGATATATCTAAACGAATCATGATACGATGGTTAGTGTTCTTCGTAAATACACGTGCCTTAGTAAATTCATCAAATCTATGTTATTTTTTTAATGTGTTTATGAACCTAAAACATTGAAAACAATGACCATTTATGAAAACCAACTAATTTTTAAATGTAAAATAATAGAATATTAGTAAAAAAGAACATATAGATAATTCGATCAATGTTTTCACAAATTCATTGGTTATAGTTTTAAAATGTTTTGAGTTGTAGTCTTAATAAGTATTGCTTTTATTATTATTATTTTCAATAAAAACTTCAATAGATTTTTGCAACAAAAAACTATATAATTGAACTCTTTTATTACATAATCTAATTTAATTCACTTGTAATCTATTAAAACAAAATTTAGAGAAAATGAAATTGGATTTATTTTATTTAAAACTACATCATTTAAAAAGTTCTATACTTAAATTTAAGTACATAACAGGCACATATTCATTTTTCATTAATTATATATATATATATATATATATATATATATATATATATATATATATATATATATATAACAATTTATAACGGTTTTATATCAGAGATAAGTCATTTTGATAAATTATTCCTTCTAATTTATCAAAAGCTCCTAAATATATTTTAAAAAAAACTCTGTTTTGTTACTGTTATAAGCTAATTAGCTAATAAATTAAAAAAATAATTTATCATACTTCCAAACACCCCTTAATAGTACCCCAACCTTGTGTGAAGGGATTGGAACTTGGAAGAACGATCCATAAAAATGGTGAGGACCTAGTTGTGGGGCTACATAGTACATACCAAAATAAGAGAGTATATAAAAAAAGGTCTCGCGAGTATGTAAAATGCTTCAAAATTGTGGGTCAATTATAGAGAATCATCAATAAAGTTATTTAGTTTACAATTTGATTCATTTATACCAAAAATGGTTAGGAAAAAAGTTATCAAAACTACACCTGCATTAAAGTTGTTTTGTGGTCAAAAAATAAACGTACACAATTAGAGGTCAAAAGTTAAAAGAAAAGGACTTGAAAGAAAAGGATAAGAAGGCCACTTTGTGTGAGGGGACTACAATAATATAACATACGAAGGATGATAGCCTAGTTGGATTTTTACCCAAGTGAAGGACCATGTATAAAAAGGTAATTGAGTATGTAAAATGTTTCAAAGATGTCATTCGATTATAAGGTGGTCTTATTTACTCCAAAATGGCTAAAAATAAGGAAAATACCTTTTACACACAAGTTATTTTATGGTCAAAACATAAACATACAAAGTTAGGTTCAAACTAAAAAAAAAGCTTAAAATTAGTAAAGGATAAAGGGACCAGCCGGCCACCATCATGGACACTATGTATGGAGGGGGGTGAATTCGTTGTGGTGGAGAAGAGGTTGTCGCGGGGAAAAGGCCGCTAGTTGGGTGTGTGATTATGTGAATTGTATGCTATAAATATTTAATGTGTTAGTTTAATTTATTCAGAACTAGTTTTTATTTAACTTTTTAAATTTTATAAAAAACATCCCATAAATTTGCAAAAATCTCAGGATGATGTGTCCAAACTTCGAAATTGAAGATAAGACAGATACAACTGTATATATTTTTCTAACATTTTTGTATAATGTTGCAAGAATATGATGATCTGTCATCGTAAGATACAATGATATACACTAGTCGTGATGTTTTTGAAACTTTACAATAACATATAAAAAATTCATTAATGTTATGACTATAGGTTATTATAGTCTACATCAGGTCCGTCCCAGAGGGTGAGCGATAGGGGCGACCGTCCAGGGCCCATCTTTTAAAGGGGCCCAAATTTTTTATGGAAATTATTATATTTAAAAGATTATACAAGTAATTTTCTTTCAATTATTGATTTATTATAAAAAACTTGATGACATTTGTGTATTTTATGGGCCCATTTTTTTTTCTAACTGGTCTACATTTTACTACATTGTCTCATTTCTTGAAATTTCTCATACAAACTTGATCATCGAAGTAAACTATCAAAATAAGACTCGAGACAGTTCTAACAACACCTCCGCAACCTCGATGGTTCCTATTGTCATTGATAATTATTTTACATGGAATCCAATACACATAGAATCAAAGTAAAGTTCATGTTTCCTTTTTAATAGGTTGAGTAATAATTTAGATGATGGTATTTTATACGTTATCTCTCAAAATAAATAATGAGTTGGACCCTAGGAAAAAGAACAAGGAGGCGTCATGACCCATGGGATAAAAGCAAGTGGGTTTAATAATTCAAAATTCAATTTTACGATATGTCACTTTGTCATGTACTTCTAGTTGTTACGTATGATATGTCAAGTTACATAACAATTTGATGAATACACGTCCTTGTGGTATTTGGTAAACAATGACAAGGCACTTCTTAAATCCATCATGTGAATTCAAAACAATATATTTTGTTTTTAAATATATAAATTCAAATATTTTTAGCTAAAAACAACATTGCTGGAAATATATATAAATGCATAAGACATCTTAAATTGTTTTATTATAAAATTTAAATTATTTTATATTGATATAGATTGCTTTTAAAAGCAAGTTATCGGCTTGATAAGATTTTAACTGATTAACAACATTAATATATTTCAAAATCCAAAAGTTAATATAAGGTATGAGTTATAGATGTCAACAATCATTGATTCATTGTTTATTCGTAGGTAGAACAACTGTAGTACATAGATAAATGTCTAAAAACGATAACATGCAACGGTTGAAGGAGATTATATATAACTAATTGTTAAACACAAATGACAAATGTGAAATTATATATAAGATATCTTTAAATAAAACAAAAGCATGTATTAAAATAAATAAAATTATACATTATACATTGAATATAATCACTATCTATATATCCATCATCATCATACATTGATACATGATGATACTATACTACCCTATGGAATTCCCAATATTGAACACCGAACATTGTCTAAACGGTCTTGAAAAAGGTCCACCAGCACTCGCCGGACACGCCGCCAGCCCCACCGTCGGTGGGACCATACAATTATAACTCAAACACAACGCCACCCCATCCGGCAACACCATGTCCCTTGGATTCTCCACCGGGAACGACGATATGTAGTTGTGTTGCAGGTAAAGTGTTCTCATTGCTCCGGCGAACACATTCCTTACGTATTCCTCCGGGACTTTTCCGGTGAAATGGTTGTTGTTTAGAAACAAAGTCTCGACGCTTTCTAGAAAGTTTGGTATATTGCCGGAGAGGAAATTATGGCTGAGGTCTACGATGGAAGCTGGACCGTAGGATTCGAAGAATGACGACGGTGGTGGGAGTTCGCCGGAGAGATTGTTCCGTTGGAGGTACATTGATGAAAGTGAGGAACTGAAAAAGGAGTCAGGTATGGGCCCACTGAATTTGTTCATGCTTAAATCGAGATACACTAAATTTGATGATGGTAATGAGTTTAATGGGCCCCACAGACCGTTGCTGGATAAAGACAAGTAACGGAGCGTCGCCGGCATCTTCTCCGGCAGCGTTCCCCATAGCATGTTGTTTCTAAAATCCAGGTGGATGAGCTGCGACTCGTCGGAGAATTCTGGGATTTCTCCGGCGAGATTGTTGTATGCGAGGACTAACACTTTGAGCTCCGGTAAAGCCGACGCGAGCATCGGTGGGATTACGCCGGTGAGCTTGTTGTGGCTGAGATCTAAAGTGTGGAGGTTTTGAAGCTCCGAAATTGTCTCCGGGATTGTTCCGGTGAGTCGGTTGTTTGTGAGTGAAATAACACGGAGGTTTTTAAGGCGGCGGCCGAGTTGCGAAGGGATGAATCCGGTGACGATTCCAGGGTAGAGAATAAGCTGCGTTAACTCAGTGAGGTCGTAGATCCCAATAGCGGAGATTGTTCCGGCGAGCCCAGGTGAGTCCGAAAGTCCGGTACCGAGTAACAGAGCAGTGACTCGTAATTTATCGTTGATTACAGAGCAAGTTACGCCGGCGAAAGAAGAACAAGGGTTTTCCGGTGAGGAGAAGTTCCAAGTTGAGAAGAATCCGCCATTCTTGACGTCAGTGAGTGTGTCCATGATCTGATGAAGCGCATTGAGATCGCCGGCGGCGAGTTGTTGTTGGGTTGTGGGAGATATTGAGAGGTGAAGTGTAAGAATGAGTGAAAGTAGTTGCAGAAAGGAATTGCAGTTGAAGAACTCCATTTTTGTTCCGACGAAGATGGAGGTAGCAGAGGGTTTTGTCGGGGATGATATAAGATGTTAAAGAGAGCGTTTGTTTGTTTCGTCAAAATTGGAAGTTTAGAGCCACAATTTTTATTTTGGACATAAACTAAATTCCAGATCTATATATCTATATATATAATAACTTTTTGAGACCATATTTTTTTGAAAAAATTTATTATATTTAATTTAATAAAATATTAAATTATAATAGGCTTATAGTCCTAAACTAATTAACCAATCAATATGTTCACTTAAATCACTCAACTTTTATATATAACAAGTTATTTCCTCTTGAATTTCATTTAGATCGCTCTTAATCTAAGGAATAATCACTTAAAATGGTAATATATTTTTCGATTTGTACACATTTGGTCATTGACTTTTTTTTTCGTCCATATTTATCCCTTTAACTTGTTAAACTGTACACATTCAGTCCTTATGACCGGTTATTCCAGGTTAGCCGGGAAAAATGACTTAATAGGGTAACATATTTCTCATTTGTACACATTTAGTCCTTAATATTTTTGTACATATTTAGTCCTTAATATATATATTTTTTCAAAATAAGTTATTTTTGTTTTTATACTCATTCAGAACTTATGAATGTACTGAATGATTTCTTTAAGTTTTTCTCACGACATCTTACGTGAGACAATCATTGATGAAGTGTATGTGGTTGTTGATGTTTATGTGTAACGTCTCATTTTCACAACCAAAATTTTTTATTTTTAAATAAGGCAAAAGTCCCTAATTATAAATCCATTATTAAGAAAAACCGTTTATTCCAACATACATTTATCTAAAATCAGAGTAATATAAGAAACGTGAAATCCTCAACATTGTTGATGAGTGTGTATAGTCATGTCTTCGCGTTCCCACGATCAACGATAGAACATGAAAACATAAACAACCAGTAAACCCAAAGTTTAGTATGTTTTCCCCAAAATACCCGATACAGCAAATGTATTATCATGCATCACGAGCCCACACCCATCATATTGGAATATATTGGCCCAATCAGTCATCGGACTGGAATGCCAACATGCAACAGGTCCAATCAGTCATCGGACTGGAGTACCCAAGGTTTGTCGGCATGCCGCCTTAACCCAACCGCTCTTCTCGAGCCTCCGTGCCTACCTCTTACAGTCTGCTCGTACTAGGTATCTTGGCCTACAACATATAGCAGGACCAGCTCAACCTATCCCACCACCATATGGCCATCCCACGTAAGATGTCGTGAGAAAAACCTAAAGAAATCATTCATAAGTACTGAATGAGTACAAAAACAAAAATGACTTATTTTGCAACAAAAAAAATATTAAGGACTAAATGTGTACAAAAATATTAAGGACTAAATGTGTACAAAGTGAGAAATATATTACCCTATTAAGTCATTTTTACCGGCTAACCTGGAATAGCCGGTTATAAGGACTAAATGTGTACAGTTTAACAAGTTGAAGGGGGTAAATATGGACGAAAAAAAAGTCAGTGACTAAATGTGTACAAATCAAAAAATATATTACCCTTTTAAGTCATTATTGTAACGCCCGGGTTTCGGGGCTAAGCATTTTTAGACAATGTAATAGTCTAGGTCAACTATTGTAACTCTTTTGATGTAATAAAAATGAAATATTTGAGTATTTTGTGAATTATGTGAATTTATGTGCTTATTATTTAATTATAAATGTATAATTAATAAAGAATAAAAATAAGCGTCAAAATTAAAATATGATATAAGCCCGATATCTTTACATAAAGTTGTAGTGGTCAAAACAAGGATTCCGGAGATATAAAGAACGCCGAAATCCGAGTTATAACGAAGAAGTTATGACCCGACGAAGTTTCACGACGGAACCGGCACGATACCGGGAAGCGTGAATAGTGAATTTACGATAAAGCGAGTTTTTAGCCGACACGACCTAAACGAGAATCGAAGAGCTCGTTAATTGTGGCATAACAATAAAAAGACAGACGAAAACGGACGTCGGATGAGGAAGTTATGAATTTTTAACGGACCAATCCTGTCCCGGCCTGTTAAAAATATAACTTTTAAAATAAATTCAAAATTAGCCAACGGAGTCTAAACGAAAGTTGTAGATTACGTTCCCGCCTTCGCGTGGATATAAATAACGTCAAAAACGAAGCTCGTATGCGAGAGTTATGATTTTTCTAAGTCGGGAGGCCGATACGCGATATTGGGTGACGTGGCACCACCAGAAATTGGACATGTGGCACCACCAGAAATTGGACACATGGCACCACCAGAAGGCCACCACATGCCCCAACTCACTATAAATAGAAGTGTCGGGTTCTCTCATTTCTTACACCTTTCCTCTTCCACTTTCTCTCTCTAAACTCTCTCTCTAAGCTCCCTTGAGCCCCTAAAGTCTAGGTAAACCCCCTAGCACCCGAAGGAAGTTCCGAGGCTCCCGGAGTCCCGAGAAAAGAACCTTTCGGCTCGGAAACGCTGCTCCAGCGAAGTCCGGTTTTGAGAAAAACCCGCTATAAGTAAGGTACGCCTACAAAATTTTTAATATAACTTTTAAATAATTATAGTAATGTTATTAGGTCCTTAAAATAATTATTTGGGCTATTATTATTTATATATTGAGTGTTATTTAACGCTTATATAATAATAATAATAGCTAGACTATTAATTAGTCACGGTTAACGTTAAAACTAAACTCTAGTGGTATTAATACTAGGTTTTGGTCAAGGAAAAATTGTTTTGAGATAACGAAGTGCTGTTCAAATACCGAGTCACCACCTAATCAGGTGAGTGCATAGTTACTTTCATCTTACACATAGATATGAAGTATTTTATATTAATACGTGCTATGTGTGCATATTATTTGAATACTTGCTGCCTATGCTGATGAAAGATTTTTATACATGTTTTAAATAATTTAAACTGTATATGTATTTTATATCTACAAAAATGTTGGGGTAAAACATGGGTAGATGTAATAAGACAATGTGTGATAAAATGATGAGAGGCCTCGATGTTGTTGTTATTGATTCTGTCATCTAGCGGAGTATGGATGACGACCACGGACTCTTCTAGACAGTCCAGTGGAACGCTAGCAGGCTCGCAACCTGTAGGTGTTTGTGAACGATGTGTTCACCGGTGTACTCCATCCCCCTCATGGTTGCCTTTAGGACATTTATTGCTGAGGAGACCCCTTGGCAGTAGTGTCCATCCCGATATTGATCCTTAGTCTAGGTCCCTTATGATAGGTGTTTTAGGGACGTAATGTGAGGATAACGGGAACGGGTAATCGGGTTATTGTTGATTGATGAAATTAATAAACTTATTTATTGTGGGTTGAAAACCCTATGTGCTCACCAGGCTCCCAAGCCTGACCCACTCAGTTTCTTGTATTACAGGTAGTGGCGCACGAGCATAGATATGATGTTTGGGATGAGAGATTACGGATATAGGCATGTAGATATGAATAAATGTAGTAAGGCTTATATTGTACTGTTTATGCTTTTGATCTGTATTGAACATGACATCCCGAGGTTTTTAATGAAATACATTTCTACGGAAATGCTTTGATAAATCTTTATCATATTTTATTTTGGGAACAAATTCCGCAACACTTTTATTTAAAATGTTACTCTGATTTTTAAACAAAGCATAAACAAAAATCGGTCTTTTCTGGCCGTGAAAATGGGGATGTCACAATTATCCCTTAATCAAATTGAATGTAACAATGTCCCATCTAAGCGATATCATTTAGGCGGGTGTAGTTTCAACGTATCTTTCACTTTTTGTGTGTTATTTTATTTGTCTTTATTTTCTTAGGAAATATCACCTCTCATCCCTCATTCAGTAAATTGCTACATGTTATTGTACTGTACAAGACTACAAGTAGATGAAGAATCGAAAAGAATAAAAATACAGTAAAGAGTGTGTGGAAATGCACCATTATTAAGAACAAAGTTAGGGGAAGTTTCACCACAACTCATCTCATTACACAAATATAGTGAGATCACACCGGATGACCTTAGGATGTTTGTGATTATTGGTTTAAAATTTATTAGGAGTCGTTTGATAGTTGTTAACTGAGTCAGAACTGACTGAGTTAGACGCTGATTGAGTTAGAAGCTCTGACTGAGTTAACTTCTGACTGAAACCTGTTGTTTGATTTTGCAACTGACTGACTGTACAAAATGACTATATTACCCTCAAACAATATTTTTTATAAAAACATTCAACTTCCGGTAAAAAATGACTATATTACTCTCAAACAAAATATCATATAAAATCCAAAGTAACATTATTATACACGAACACTTTAAGGTATAACATTTGACAATTTACATACACATATATTAGGTACCGAAAAAACTATAGAATTATTCTTTTTTCCTTCTTCCCATTCTTCCGAATCCCAAGCTCTTGTCATCAACCCCATACTTTGTAATCCAAATACAATAAAGCATACCAATTTTGAATGCCTTTGAATTTCCTTTTGATGACATTTCTTTCAATTCGTAAACATCAGGACAAAATTAGCATTCTGATTCATTGTGAAGGATGGAACTCCAATTTTGACTGTCCAAAACTTCGTTGACTTTCAAATCAATTAATGCTTCCATTTACCATTATAAATCAGAACTACATCATCATCTTGCATCTGATTACAGTAATTTAGAACTATATCACCATCTTACTTCTTGATCAAAATCAAACTAATTGATTTGATTATTTGTTTACAGAACTACATAAAAACACAATTGAATCTTCAAATTAATTTCCAAAATCAAACTAATCGATTTGATTATTTGTTTTCAGAATCGACCAAAAATCAATAACATCATTAAACAAAGACAAGCCACTGAACAATCGATTTGGAAATCGATTGTGAATCAGAAATCATTTTGCAGAGATAGAGAGGAGATGAAAGACGAAACTAACGATGAAGGAGGGCGACGATGGAGGAGGAGGTCGGTGCCGACGACGTATTGCGATA